AAAAAAATTCTGCTGGCATTTAGGAATGATATTAAACAGCAGGGCCTCTGTGAGAGCATTTAATAAATAGAGTTTTAATTGTTTGTATATGCAGTGTTGTTAAAGAATTTTTAAGATACACAAATTTGAGACAACAAAAACTGACATCAGGTGGTGAGGCTGTATTTATGAAAGCAGTTGAAACTTTAAACCACCTGCCCTACCAGAGCTCCAGGGAAGAATTTGTAGAAATCCGTTCACTAACACTGCACACGCCTTGTAAACTAGTCTAAAATAGCTTCTTAAAGAAATGTTTCCCTTCAGAACCCTAAAAACAAAATAGGATAAAACCTAGGCTAATGTGTTTCATGTTTGCCTTACCTGTTTTCCTGAAGGAATTGTTAAGGACTTTGCACAATTGAACTCACATATAAAAGGTAGAGGTCAAATGTTATTGCTGCCTAAGGGGATGCCCAGGGTTTTTTGCTATAAAATGTACCAGGGTCGGGTGTGAGTAGTGGTTAAGAAGAGTGCCTGGATTTGACTCCCATATATGCTCTTTACTACGCCTGTGACTCGGGCAAATGATTAAATCTACCAGTGCCTCTGTGCCTTCATCTGTAATATGGGAATAATACGATTTCTTCTCTGGTTGTTTGGAGGGTTAAATGAAAGAATATTTGTGTATGGCAGGCAGCAGTGCCTAGAACAAAGCACCATGGTAGTGTTTGCGGCTTTTTATTACCAAGAATATTGAGTCAGATTAATTGTTATTTGACTAAGGCTTTAATATCTCTTCTCTGTAACAATTCATAATTATTTCAGATCTAGTTTGTGTTGTGTGATAATTAGTGACATTGCATTTTATACCTTGCCTTTTTTTTTTATCCTCACCCGAGGACATTTTTTCACTTTTTGTTCAGATAGAGTGGGAGGGAGAGAGAGGAAGAGAGACATAGAGATCCATCGACGTGAAAGGGACACATTGAGTGGCTGCCACCCGCACGACCAACCAGGGCCAGGGACAAACTGCAACCGAGGTACACATCCTTAGCGGGAACTGAACCCGGGTTTCTCCGGACTGAGCCACACCGGCCAGGGTTATACCTTGCCTTTTTTTTTTTTTTTTTTTAAACACACACACTCCATTTAAACTGATTCTCTCAAGGGTGCATTTTTGAAAAAAATCCTCCTTTTATCATCACAGTGGGAGGGAAGGAGAGAGAGAAACATCAATGTGAGAGAGACACATCAACTGGTTGCTTCCCACAGGACCCAAACCAGGGCCGGGGACCAAACCACAATCGAGGTACGTGCCCTTGACTGGAATCCAACCCGCGACTCATTGGTCCATGGGCCGATGCTCCAACCACTGAGCCAAACTGGCCATGGCGTCTTTTTTTTTTTTTAATGTTCGCTAAACAAATTCAGCTATTAAAAGACATTTAAGGGTAAGGTGTAACTTAAATCAGATAAAATATTTAAAGTACTTTAACAATCTCTCGTTGTGTGTAGTAGATTAATTCTACATAATTCCGGTGGAACTAGTTGCCTGATATCTACTAGACTTTTATAAATATATGAGAGAAACATTTAACCCTTGCTCAGAAAAGATAATTCTTAAAAATCTAGTGTTCAGCAATATTTATGTATTGATTTACAATTGTACATTGAACCCTGGCTGGTATGGCTCTGTGCTTAGAGTGCTGGCCCGAGGACCAAAGGGTCTCAGGTCTGATTCCCAGTCAAGGATGCGTCCCTAGGTTGCAGGTTCCATCCCCGGCCCTGGTCGGGGTTGTGCAGGAGGCAACCAGTTGATGTGTCTCGCTCACATTGATGTTTCTCTCTCTCTCCCCCTTCCATTCTATTTAAAAATCAATGGAAAAATATTCTTGGATGAGGATTTACAATAAATAAATAAATAAATAAAATTGTATATTGATATTTAGAAACACATTCTTCTCACACTATCTTTTTTAATATTTAGTTGAAATTTTTATTAATTTGTAGGGATTATCAATATTAAATAGAAATTTTCATTTGGTATAAAGAGGATTAATACTTTGAAAGAAGATTTAAGTGTAAGTTCTTTAATTAACCCGTTATTAGAAGTCGGTATTGAAGTTCACATGCATAAAATAGCTAATTGAATGCTGACACGTTTAAAGAGTAAAATAGGTTGTTTATGTAAAGTTAGTTTGAGAAACATCTTAAATTGATTAGCTTGATTTTAAATAGGAAAGTAACAAGTGAATATATTTCAAATGAATATATTTAAAATGTTTAACTCTAAAATATATTTTAAAACTATCTGGAAATTGATTATCTTTTTATGTTTTCTGTAGGGTCTAATTTTTCTTTAATAACAAGGTAGTATTACAAAGCTTTTATATGGTCATACAAAAATCTGATCTTTAGTATTTGAAAAAAGCAAAAAAAAAAAGAGAAAACTTAAAGGTGAAATATTTTAGTAGTATTTATTTTCTCTATATAAAATGCAAATTGGAGTGTTTTTCAGTGAAAAATAGATTCATTAGTTATTTGTTAGGCACATTTTATGTGCTGGAAACCATGGCAGTTGCTGGTTTTATGTTGATAAACAAAACAGAAATCATTTCTATAGTCAAATATCTAAATATCTATCATGGGAGATGGATGAAGCAAAACAAATATATAATTTCAAAATCTGTGAAGTCTGATTCAAGAAATGGAGCTACAGGTGACCTGAAGTCTCTGTCTGGTAGTCAGGGATGAGTGGGGCAGCGACTTTTTAAGCTGTGACCCAGGGATGAGGAGCCAGCCACAGAGTCATGTCACTGATTCATTCAACAAATTCTTTTTTTTAGTGCCCTCTTTGTCTCTGTGTTAGTTGCTGGTTGTACCGTAGAGAATGAAACATTCTTGAACTTTGTCCTTGTAAAGCATAAGGGCTGGTGTGGGAGGCGGTTGTTAAGCACATAGACAAATATATTTAAAATGGGAGCTTGTGTTAAGAGCTATGAGGAAAAGGAGAGGGTGCTTCGAGGGAGAATAGATTTGTGATCTGCCTTGAACTGGATTTTCTGGAGAGGAATGTCTGTGTAGGTGGTATAGGTGAAATTCGAAGGAGGAGCAGTTAGCAAAGGGAATGGGTAGATAATGCAAGGTCTGAGGCCTTTATCTCCCATAGATGTTGATTATTTATCATAAAATATAAGATTATAAGTTACTGAGCTTTATTTTACTCCCATTTACAGTGTAAGGCCGGTAGGGCTCCAAACAAATCTTGGTTTACGGAATTACTGCTGAGGTCCTGTGGAAAAATGTATATTAACCTGCTTTTGAGTATGACAGAGATCACCATGCAATGGGTGTGAAGTGATTTTGTTCAATGAGTTATTGTTGTGTGTTTGCTCAGTATTTCTTTCTTCCTTTATTTTTATTTATTTATTTTTATCCTCACCTGAGGACATTTTTGCATTTATCTTCAGATAGAGCGGGAGGAAGAGAGAGAGAGAAACATCGATGTGAGAGATACACATCAACTGGCTGCCATCCACACGACCCCAGCTGGGGCTGGGGACAAACTGCAACTGAGGTATGTGCCCTTAGTGGGAACCGAACCCGGGACTCTCTGGTCTGTGAGCCGATGCTCTGACCGCTGAGCCAAACCAGCCAGAGCTATTTCTTTATTTTTTAATTTTAAAGCTGAGAACTTTAAAGAACCCTTGGATTGGTGAAAGAAGTGAAAACCAGATCTTTGTAACACTGTTGGGTGTTGCAATGTTAGGAAAACCTATTGCAGACCCAGAGAAGTTAAAAAGAAGCAGAAAGAAGAGGGAATCAAATGGAAAGAGGGCTGGGTACGTAGTTGTGGATACCTGATTCCAAGGTCTTCACATGTTCCTATTACTTCGTAGTTCAGTGCTTGTATGTGAACATATCTGCACTGATGAACTTTCAAACTTTTCTCCATTGGATCCAAATTTCTCTAATTTTATCGTAAGCTGAATAAATTGGCTAAGGATGAATGTGGGAGGCTTGCTAAGTAATAGATGTGTGGTGTTCAGGAAAAAATTCTCTACACATTCTGAAGCTTTTCTATCATTAAATCTGAAAACCACAGAAGATTATGCCAATTGCTTGTCTTAAACATGTCAGAACAGCGCAAAAGGAAAAGGCAGACAGTTGTTTTTCCTAGTTTTTTAGAGGTGGCTTTAAAAAAAAAAGTTAGTTTTCTTATCTGTGTTAAAGGCTAAAAGTGTCTGGATTGTGTCAGTCCACACCGAGAGACACGCAGGGAGGAGTAGACATTCAAAACCTCTAGGATGGTCTGTCTGCAGGAAAGGAGACGAAGACCAAGCAGAACGAAAAAGCCCAAGTAGAAATGTTTTTTTTTTTCTTTTCCTTCATATAGCCAGGGCAAGTTTTTTCTCTTTTCAGCCTAACTAGGAAATGTGTGGTTACATTATTTTGCTTTGTTTCTCATGTTAGTAACCATTGTAAATGACATTTGTGTTTCGTATGATTCTTTTTCAGAAAAAGTTAATGATTGTAAATGATTCTGTATTTAGAGTGGGCTTTTTCAGATTATTTGATCAAAATTAAATTATTTACCTATGTAAATCCAATTGACAAACCTTTGTCGTTTTAGCAAAATATTATTCATTTTCTAAAGCAAAAAATTAAGGTGGAATGCATGTTTGAAGCTTAATGAGGGATGAAAGTTATGGTAACTCTATTCAGTGAAGTGGTACTTTGATAGTGTGTTGAACAACACTTTGTTCACACTCAGTGGTACAAATGTGGATGACAACACTGTTAACAGTGTCATTGTTTTAAGTACCTGTGTCCGCTGATTAGAAAGCACTATCATACATATTTTTTCCCCTTTGTGTACCATTGCCAAACTGGACATTGTCATAGCCTATTGTTTTCTACACTGCATTGGGAATGTACTCAATGCAGTTACATTACAAATGTATTTCAAGTTCAAGTTCATGGTACTTAAATGTAAAATAACAATTTCATATGTTTTACAGAAAACGCATGTTTCAGAAGAGATGGGTGAAATTTGATGGCTTTAGCATTTCTTATTACAATAATGAAAAGGTATGTACATTTTACAGTTTTCAAAGATTACTTTATACATACTAAGTATACTTCAAGAAACTAAGCATGTGATATTTAACAGTTATTTATGGAGTATCTTCAACAGCCTCCAGGATTTGCTGTGAGCAATATGCAGATGAATAAGGAAATGCCTCTCATCTAGAGAGCACTTAGGAGTGTCTGCAAAGTGACAGCACATAGGGGATGGCAAAGCCGGAGAGGTTACTTTGTATTCTGGAAGGGCCTGTGGAAGAGCCAAGGAAGGCTCCTTGCATGAAATTTCATTGGTACGGGTCTTGAAGAAAGGAATGTTTGTACATAGAGAAACTAGGGAAACAGGACTTGCTAGCAGAGAGAACAAAGATGCCCAGATGGGAAACCCATTCTATTATGGATGTGGTTTTCTCTGATTGGGGAATAGAGTACATTAAGGAGACTTATATGAAGCCGAAAAGGATGTTTGGACTTAGAACTCATTGAAAATCTTGAAGTTATGTGAGAGTGTTATAATAGTCTTTAGATAATTGAGTATTCGTTGACGTGGTATTGTTTTGATCATATCCTTCTCATTAGGTATGAGAATGTCTTTATTCTTGGGAGGGTGAAATATTTAGGAGGGAAGTGTCATTATGTCTACAAATGTTTTTCGAAATTTATCTCTCTGTGTGTGTGTATACATACACCCCCCACACACACATTTGCACAAATGCACAGTTTGATAAAACCAAAATTGAAGATGTTAACAATTATCAAATATAGTGGGTGTTCATTATACTAATATTTCAACTTCTCTGTTTGAAAATTAATTCCCTTAAGAAGTTGGAATTAATAAATACACCATATTTCAGTTACTTAAAATCAGAATTTTATAGTCTTAACTATATCCATTCTTTTAACATTTCACACTTACATTTAACCCTTACCACATTCTCTTATTTATAGTTTATAATGTAACATTATTTTTCCATTATGTAGAAACTTCCACTGTCTTACATTGGTGATATTTGTAGTTTGAATAGACATTTATATTCCCTTTCATATACAGTACTGAGTCTTCAGTGCTGCAAGGCAGGAGAGTATATGCTCTTAGAAAGTAACACATTGCATGCTACAACACTAAGAATAATAGAAGGTTTACACAAGTGTTAATTGTTTGATTTCACTTTGCAGTGATCCAGATAAAGCATCAAGGTTTAAACACACCTCTTGAAAGTTTGGATGAATATTTATTAGTAGCTTGTTTTCTGCCTTAGCTATGGTTTTTAGTTTGCTTGTGCATTTGAATGTTGAGACACTTCTCTGTGCCTAGACTCTTGCAATGTATCTGATGGAATCTGACCCCTAACTTCCTTCAGCACCTGTGCTCTTCTCTGGTCTGATTGAAATGAGGAGGAAAACTATTCAGGAATGAGACAGGCTGCCTTGCCACGAAGCTCTGGTGGTGGTGGTACCATTATTGCCATTTGGGGGAGAGAATTTCTAGTATCCGTCCACCTGGGCTCACTCTGTCCTTTGAAAGCCCATCTGCGTGCCTATTACCTGTTTAAATATTGATACAATAAAATGGATGCAACCTTGTTTCGAAATGAGATAAAAAGTTTGTGTTAAAATGAATGATCACAAATCCTTTAACGTCAAATTTAAAAAAAAGTCAAGTTGTTTTCTGTGGATTTACCTTGGCAAAAAACAAAACATTGGGATGAATATTTTCTTTTTTTTAAATTAATTAATTTTGAATTTTTATTTTTTTAAAATTATTTTTATTACAGATGTTTCTCTTTTTTCTTCTATTGACACCTTCCTCCCACCCCATCCCCGGCATTGTTGTCTATGTCCATTGGTTATGCATACATGCATATAAGTTCTGTGGTTTGTCTCGCCCCCTCCCCTGCACCCTCTTCTGAGGTTTGTCAGTCTGTACCCTACTTCTTTGTCTCTGGGTCTATTTTGTTGTCAGTTTGTTTTGTTCATTATATTCCACAAATAAGTGAGATCATGTGATATTTGTCTTTCTCCAATTGGCTTGTTTAACTTAGGATAATACTTTTCAGCTTCCTCCTTATGGTCTCAAAGGATAAGAGATCCTTCTTACAGCAGCATGGTATTCCACTGTTTACATGTACCACAGCTTTTTTATCCACTAATCTATTGATGGACATTTGGGCTGTTCCCAGATCTTAGCTATTGTAAATAGTGCTGCTATGAACATGGGGGTACATATATTCTTTCTGATTGGTGTTTCAGGCTTCTTAGGGTATATTTCCAGAAGTGGAATCACCGGGTCAAATGGCAGTTCAATTTTTAACTTTTTGAGGTAACACCATATTGTTTTCCATAGTGGCTGCACCAGTCTGCATTCCCACCATCAGTGTACTAGAGTCCCCTTTTCTCCACACCCTCGCCAGCACTTGTTTGATGATTCGTTGATGGCAGCCATTCTTACAGGTGTGAGGTGATACCTCATTGTTTTAATTTGCATCTTTCTGATGATTAGTGATGTTGAGCTTTTATTCATATTTCTCTTGGCCATTTGTATGTCCTGTTTGGAGAGGTGTCTCTTTAGGTCCTCTACCCATTTTTTTTTTTTTTATCTTCACCCGAGGACATTTTTCCATTTTTTGTTTGGAGAGAGAGGAAGAGAGAGTGAGAGCGAGCGAGCGAGTGAAACATTGACGTGAAAGGGACACATCGAGTGGCTGCCACCCTCATGACCAACCAGGGCCGGGGACAAACTGCAACTGAGGCACGAGCCCTTAGTGGTAACCGAACCCGGGTCTCTCTGGACCGCAGGCCGACACTGTAACCACTGGGCCAAACTGGCCAGGACCTTCTGCCCACTTTTAAATTGGGCTCTTTGTCTTCCTTTTGTTGAGTTGTATGAGTACTCTCTATATGTTTGAAATTAACCCCTTATCTGATGTATTGTTGACAGTTATGCACTCCCATATAGTGGGTTCTCTTTCCATTTTGATGGTTGTTTCTTTTGCTATGCAGAAGCTTTTTAGTTTGATGTAGTCCCATGTATTCATTTTTTCATTTGTTTCTCTTGGCTTAGGCGTTGTATCACTGAAAATTCTGCTGCGTGTGATGTCTGAGATTTTGTTGCCTACATTTTCTTCTAGGATTTTTATGGATTCACAAGTCACATTTAAGTCTTTTATCCATTTTGAGTTTATTCTTATGTATGGTGGAAGTTGGTGGTCTAGCTTCATTTTTTACATGTAGCTGTCCAATTTTTCCAACACCATCTATTGAAGAGGCTGTCTTGACTCCACTGTATGCTCTTGCCACCTTTTTCAAATATTAATTGAGCATATTGTCTTGGGTCTATTTCTGAGTTCTCTGTTCTGTTCCATTGATCTTTATGCCTGTTCTTGTTCCAGTACCAGGCTGTTTTGATTACAGTGGCTTTGTAGTATAACCTGATAGCTGGTATTGTGATTCCTCTTACTTTGTTCTTCTTTTTCAAGATTACTATGGCTATTTGGGGTCTTTTTTGGTTACATGTAAACTTTTGAAGTATTTGTTTTAGTTATGTGAAATATGTCATTGGTATTTTTTTTTCTTCCATTTTTTGCACAGATAGAGTGGGAGGGAGAGAGAGGAAGAGAGAGAGAGAGAGAGAAACATCGACTTGAAAGGGACACATCGAGTGGCTGCCACCCGCATGACCAGCCAGGGCCGGGGACAAACTGCAACCGAGGTACATGCCCTTAACAGGAACCGAACCCGGGTCTCTCTGGACCGCAGGCCGATGCTCTAACCGCTGAGCCAAACCGGCCAGGGCTGTCATTGGTATTTTGATGGGGATTGCATTGAATCTATAGATGGCTTTGGGTAGTATGGACATTTTAATGATGTTAATTCTTCCAATCTATGAACATGGTATATGCTTCTACTTTTAAAATACCTTCCTCTGTTTCTTTTTTCATTGACTTGTAGTTTTCTGTGAAGAGGTCTTTCACTTTGGCTAAGTTTATTTCTAGGTATCCTAATTTTTTTGCCACAATATAAATGGGATTTTTTTTTTTAGTTTCTCTTTCTGTGAGTGCATTGTTGGTGTATAAGAATGCTGTTGACTTCTTGACGTTAATTTTGTATCCTGATACTTTGCCAAATTCATTTATTAAGTCTAGTAGATTTTTGATGGAGTCTTTAGGGTTTTCTATGTACAATACCATACCATCTGCAAATAATGACAGTTTCACTTCCTCCTTTCCAATTTGGATCCCTTTTATTTTTTTCTTCATATCTAATTGCTTTGGCTAAGACTTCCAGTACTACGTTAAATAAGATGGCAAAAGTGGGCATTCCTGTCTTGTTCCTGTTCTTAAGGGAAATGCTTTTAGTTTTTGCCCATTGAATATGATGCTGGCTATAGGTTTTTCATATATGACCTTTATTATGTCGAAATATGATCCCTCTATTCCCACATTGCTGAGTGCTTTTATTAGAAATGGGTGCTGGATATTGTAGAATGCTTTTCCAGCATCTATTGATAAGAATATATGGTTTTTATTTTTCATTTTGTTTATGTGGTGTATCACATTTATTGATTTGCAAATATTGTACCATCCTTGCAACCCTGGGATGAATCCCACTTTGTCATGATGAATACTTTTTTTAATGTATTGCTGGATCCAATTTGCTAATGTTTTGTTAAGGATTTTGGCATCTTTGTTCATCAGGGATATTGGCCTGTAGTTTTCTTTCTTTGTAGTATCTTTTTTTTTCCTCTCTTTTTTAAATTTTTTTTAATTTTTATTTATTTATTTATTTTTTTATCCTCACCCGAGGACATTTTCCCATTTTTTGTTCAGGTAGAGTGTGGGGGAGAGAGAGGAACAGAGAGAGAGAGAGAGAGAGAAACATCGATGTGAAAGGGACACATCGAGTGGCTGCCACCCGCACAACCAACCAGGGCTGGGGACAAACTGCAACCGAGGTACATGCCCTTAGCGGGAACCGAACCCAGGTCTCGCAGGACCGCAGGCCGACGC